TCAAATTTTTGCCCATTTCTCGAGTTCACATCGCTCGGGTTCGTCCTTAGGTACGTTTTAACGGTTAGTATAGAATAGATAGACTATATATTATATGTTATATAACCTATAGCTTTCCTCAATAAACAGGCTATCTAATTATTTACCACTTGTCTTACGGTGAAGGAGAACATCGTAAGGAAACCTGTATGTCTGGGAGAACATAGCAAGTTGTCGAGAGACGTGCGATCCGCCCTTGGCCAGCGTGGTGGACTATGGCTTGATCCCCTTCGTATTAAAGGGAGGCCCACCCCCAGCAGTGGGACGTTAAAAAGGGCTGAATACAAAGACTACTATCTCTCTGTCTTTTTATTTATAGATGAAATTCAGAGTTATATCAAAAAATGTACGCTAAATTATTTCTTTTAAAGCATAACAAATGGTTACTTAACATTGATCTAAGTAGCACAACGTAGCCTTGACAATGACTTAGTCGAAAGTGAAGTGATCTATAGATCACGGATAAGTATAAATAGATCATTGTTGATGTTTACTTGATCTTCGATTTAAGTATTTTTATTTTGATAGTTTCTAAGGTCATGATGGTATTATTGTGTTTTATTTTACATTTCTTATGTAACATTACATTTCTAGTTAAGCTATGTTTTCTAAGAACATGTTTAGATGGGTTACCGTTTTATAAAACAATAACTAAGTTTAGTTTCTATTCTTCTGAAGGCAAATGTAACCCAAAATGTTTTTTATTGTGTTCGTTCAGTGAAACTTTCGTTAACTTGCAAACGTTTAGAATTTTCGCGTTCAAATTAAATTTATTTAAACGGATATTGTTATTTTTAGCTAGTTGACTTAAAAATGTATCAAAATTTTATATCAAACTAGGGATTTACACTCGTTTTGCTCGCGTCCTTAACAGTCTACGCGTTACTTCAGGTCGTTCAAGCATGAAAGACTGACACATACGTACATATATACATATTTTTGTATTCATAATGTTAGCCTTATAAATTTAAAGACCAAACCCTATGGTGTAACTAATAGCCATTGAAGAGTTCCACTATCAGCTCCTGCCAGCATTAGACCAGCTCGATACTTTCCTAAAATTGTATTGGTCTATCCAATCACACATGCATTCAGCCCTTTTTAACGTCCCACTGCTGGGCACTGACCACTATAGTACGTGGGGGATCAGGCCGTAGTCCACCATGTTGGCCGAGTGCAGGAGGACTGAGCATGTATTTTGAAAAGTTGCTAGGTTCTCTCAGGCGATGTTTTCCTTCGCCGTTAAGACAAGTGGTAATCATGTTAATTGCACATGAATATATCAGAGGTGCGAGACCTGGGATTTGAACCCGCTTCACTCGGTTTCCCAAGCGAGCGCGTTACCACTGGGCTTCCATTACCTTATAAGTTACTAGCATTGCCCGCGGCTCCGCCCGCGTTCAGATGACCTAAAACCAAATTCTTAGGTTTTACTTAGATATTCGTATACTCTTGCATTACAGTTTTTGTGTTTTTTCTCAGAAAAGATATATTTTCTCGCTGTAAGAAGTATCCTAAATGTTGACCCGGATAACCAGCTATCACTATACCAAATTTCATCAAAATCTCTCCAGTGGTTTCTCTGTGATGCGGTAACAGACAGACAGACAAAAATTCTAAAAACTATGGATTCGCCCTCTGTATCGATAATAATGTTTATTTCAATAACATTTTCCAAAAAATATTTAATGTACAGATTCGGCTTAGCCACAATTTTATTATACATATGTATAGATTACCTCTGTATATGTGTACTAATATGTAGTTTATATATTCCACGCTAATCGTAATATAATATATCAAGTTAGAGGAGTTTTTAGAAATACACACATTTACATACCATTGCTAATTTTTCCTTATATATAAATACCTATATCCTCTCTCTGATTGGTCAACCGTGAAGGTTGAATCAGTATGGCGTGTTTTTTACCTTTCTGCGGACGACAGATAATCGATTTAATTTGAGTTTTTGTTATGTTGGTACGAGGAAAATGAATGTGCCTATCTTTTAGTTTTAATTTTCGGTTGTTCGAGTTGGCAATGCTGGTCTGCATATGTTTTTTTTTGTTTCGTGGATCTATTTTTCTTGTAAAGTTGAGACGGATAATTAGAACTCACTTAGTTCTAAGAAGGTCCTGATTCTAATTGATATTAGGAGATATTACAGATAGTTTGAAACGACCGGTGAGAGATCAGGACCGACGGCTTTACGTGCTTTCTGACACACAGGAGTGCAATTCCACCCACTTCCCGACTCCAACCTTTATAAACTTAGCCTAACCGAGAACTCGAACCAAGGTTCACCCGGATCTGCAACCATATATGTTAGTGATCTGCGACCAATAAGACTAATGAAATAATTAAAATTCGTTAAAAAAATAGAATTTTTAATACGATGACATGGTTAAAGAAATCCAACATTGTGTTTAGAAGTCCGCATCTGAAGAGTAAAGAGACAGGGTCCTAATATAAAGTTTATGTTATTTGTCTTTGAAATCTAGTAGATAACCTGTGGATTTTCTCACTGGTAATAAAAAAAATATTTAATCAACTACTCTAAGTAGTAATAAGAACCAGTAAAATAAAACGTAAATATTTTGTAAACGTATAGTAGCTTATTTTTTTTTAGAAGTGGCAAATAGTTCTTTCTAGGTTTAAAATATCCAATATAAAGTCCTAGCCCATGAAAACAAATTTTCCAAGCGACATTCTAACTACCACTTGACCGTATTTTTTAATAATTAAACTAATAAATAATGAAATAATAAAGAAATATGTTGGGACACTAATATTTAACACACAGCACCATCTAGCTCCATGGTAAGCTACGAGGCCTGTGTAATGGATATCAGATAGTTGATACACTACACATATATAACTTTAAATACATACATATTATAAATATAAACACCTATGACTGGAGTACAAACATGAACAAAACTCATCACACAAATGAATGTCCCTAGTGAGACTATCCAGCGACCGCTGGAACAGCAAGTACCGTCACTACAAACTGAGCTTAACGTGTCGTCTAATAACTAATGATGTAAAGTGACAAAATCAGAACAAAAAAAACAGCTTTTAACACTAATTTACTATTTCTTATCACAATCTATTATCAAGATGACATTAGAAAATATATAACAAAAGTTTAAAATTTAACCGCCATGTCGTCAGTGTCAAAAAACAATAACGGCATTTGCTTAATCCTCCTTTTGTGTGGTTAACTGTACGTGGCTACTACTTATGGGAATTGGTTTTTTTTAACTGCAGTTTAGTCGTAGGTAGCCCGTTTGATTGTAGATATTGTCTTTAGTTTGATGCCCGGGTCGGGTAAATAGTATTGGTTATTTCTCTATAAATTCTTCGCAGCTTGGATGTCGAAAATTTGATGCTTCCATGCTTCGGAGTATATGTAATGTTTGTTTTGTTTCATCTTTCTTCTATTGCAATTGAAAGTTAGAGTGTATGGAGTAAATAGCTAATATAATGAAGAATAGTTGTTAGCATTGAAATTTTAAAAGAATATCTATTTGGCAATGTTGTTTTTAATATAAGGTCATAGGTTCGCCTCGTTGTAAAGATATTATTTAAGCCACTTCTAGTTTGTTCTGTCCACATGATTGCTGTAAAGCATTCGAATCGTCGGAAACCAAAAATCGTAATAATCCGCGAAAAGATTCGAAAGATAGTTTTATTTCGAACTAGTTACGTTTTGTTTAGCTTAGAGATGAGATATTTGCCCGCAGTTAAAAGTATCTTATAGGTATGTTGACCCGGATAACCAGCTATCATTATACCAAAATTCATCAAAGTCTGTCCAGTGGTTTTCTCGTGATGCGGTCACAGACAGACAGACAAAATTCTAAAAACTATATTAGATTCGCTCTCTGTATATACCTATAGATAATAATGAGTATTTCAATAAGATTTTCCAAAAAATATTGAACGTAGGTATAGATTCCACACAATTAGAATTTTATTATATGTATAGATAGATGTCAAATATTCGCGTAAATCTAAGAAAGTATTACGAGTAAATCCCAACTAATTTACAAGTGTAATAAAATATGGACATGCCGTCACAAAATCAGAAAAAAAAGTTAAAAGAACCAAAACTATTTCTAATGCTATTATATTTTGTACTCAATTATGTTCTTAGAGCAAACCCTTTTCAAGAGTAACGAGATTATACGATGTGGTCGGATTTAACTGAGTTTTTTGTATAAGGGCTCCTTGTCTCGACTACTGTTCTGTCACCGAAACAATAAATTGTTAAATTGTTAGGTTAAATGAACGGTTTTGCGGAGATTTCAGTTAAATAAATATGGACACTAACTAACGGCTTCTATGATTTTTGGTTTTTGTTTTTGAAGCTTATGGTTTGTAATTTATGGTACGAGTATATATCATTTATCGGTTAAGTTATGTTTCGTTATTTTTGAAGTTATATTTTTTTTGGGGCGTCGGGACAAAATTATGAGAGTAAAATTTTTACGATGCGCGCGCACACCGACAGCCAAAAAGCGACATGATGAAGTTAGCTGATAACTGTTTGTTGCCATGGTATCCGTTGTTACTGTCTGACATTATATTCTTTCCTTAAATGATATTCTATAAATGTATGATTGTAATATGCCCAATATGCCTTATTTAATTATTTTTATTAATTTATCATTCCTTTTACAAACAGATCGATGTGACATACGTGATGAAATCTTTAGCAATTTTTGTTCTGTTACGCCAAAGAAGTGCAACTTCTTACGTGCTTACATAAGTACCTACACAAACACGTTTTTTTTTAAATAAGTACTTAAACCACCCCTGGCACACCGCGAACAAAACAAAAAAATCATTATTCAAATCGGTCCAGCAGTTTTTTAGTTTTAGCGAGACAAACGAACAGAAATTGTTTTTTTTATGTATATTCTAATTAATGAATTGTCTATGTATTCTTTCAGGTGAATACGTTATTCAGGGTGAGTTACCTGAACAGCTTGTAACTGAAGAGTCAGGATTTGATCTTCTAGAAGAGGCCCTTCAGCTCGTAGAACTTGGAGACGAGGGTGACAAGAAGGATGAACAGACTCAGGTAATTATTCTGCTTCACTGATAAATAAGGCGTGAGTTTTACTGAATAGTTTTGTAAATAACTATTTATTTTTATTATCTGTACATAAAATAATATTGGTAAGGCAATATAGTTAACCCGCACTCGGCCAGCGTGGTGGACTATGGCCTGATCCCCCTCGTATTGAAGGGAGGCCCACCCCCAGCAGTGGGACGAAAAAAGGGCTGAATACATACATACAAGGAATTATAATTGAAGGCACAATGATAAAAAAAGATTGAGCAACTTTAAAATGCTATATATTTGTCGTTTTACACATGCTATCTTTTTATGTTTAATTTAAATTTTAACTTTCTTTCATTAAAAAAAAACATGAAACTTTGTCAGACTCAGTAGATAGATGGTGCTTTTATCTAATATAGTTAAAGAAAGATAAAAAATAGATCAGATCCCCTACTCACACCATTATTTGTCCATTCAAATACCTACCAGAACCTACCAGGACCTACCATGACCTACAAGGGCAAATAACTAAAACAATTTCATTTTCAGGCGGTAGAGGGGAGCAGCGGTGCTAATATGCTGCATCCGGCTATGCGGCATGTGCCGCACCACCCGCTCGCCCACTACCACAATCAGGTTAGTTTTAGATATACTATACTACGGGTGTAGATTCGGAAATCCTGGGCTCGAGTCTTGGGTTAAGCTAAGAATAAAGGTTTTCTATCAAGAAGTTGATAATACCAGCCCGCAGTTCTGGAACTGGCAGTTACATCGTTATACCGAAGCAAAGCACTCAAAAGGTCACTTTTACGCTTGGTTTCGCATCGAAAGAAAATACAGGTGAGAGTGCACGTTGTGTCTGCGCCTTTATTTGTGCACTATAATATCTCCTGCAGTTGGCTATTCTCAGTGATATTGGTCGCCGTGGCCTATCTGTGAGGAGAAATTTTTAGATTTACTTATATTACTTAGTACTAACAAATTATGTAACCAAACGATTTACAAGAAAGTTGATTTTGACCTATTGGTTTTAATAATTATACACCAAAAGTTCTATTGAAATTTGCTCAGCCATTCTGACTGTATTATTGTTAAAATAGCTGTTTTTCTCTCGGAGGTGGAATTTTCTTTTTTTTTACAAATTTGCGAACATAAAAAACAAACACACAGACACTTTCTTTTTTTTTTTTGATGTCGGTCGAAAATTAAGAAATTAGTAAGATTCAAATCTAAACATTGCCTCTACAAGATACGAAAAAAGAGAAAAAAGTAAAAACGACATGATAAATGATGTCCAATGTCACAGATTAAATACCACACACGGTGATCGAGAGTTAAACTATTTTCGACACCTGTCTTCAATTGCTGTTTTGATTTAAATTCTAAAAATTAAGGAGATTTAAGCTATTTTTTGTTCGTATGTGTACATGTTTTGGTGGTTTTGTCTGTGTTTATAACATTTTTTTTCTTAAGTGTTGTATAGATGTCAAATATTCGCGAAAATCTAAGTAAGTAATAAATATGGGTTTTAGAAAGTTTCTAAGTACATATAATTATGTTATTGATTATGTATAGTTCTTACGGACGTTTTTTTTATGTATTTGCTGTATATATTCACAAGAAGTGGGTATATTATCATATATTTATTAATATCAATTGGTCCCGTATTCGAGTTCCGGGTCGTGCCAAAAATACCTACATATTTCATCTGTTAGGAAATTCTCTATAAAATCCCGATTGGGAAACTGTGTGGCATCTCCGTCCTGTATCATTTATCTTATCCCAAATATTGAATTGTCCCAACAGATCGAATTTCGACCCCTGGACGAATATTAGATATTATTATTCTATACTAGTTACTTTAACGGTAAGTATAGATTTCTCAGAGATGAGATATTTTCTCGCAGTAAAAAGTATCCTATATGTTGACCCGGATAGGTTATCCGGGATAGCTGGTTGCTATCATCATACCACATTTCATCAAAATCTGTCCAATGGTTTTCTCGTGATGCGTTCCCAGACAGACAGACAAACAGACACAAAAATTCGAAAATACTATAGATTCGGCCTCTGTATCGATAATAATGTCTTTTTTCAATAAGATTTTCCAAAAAAAATATTTTATGTACAGATATAGAGAATAGATTCGACTCAGAATTTTATGATTTGTTTCTACATAACCACAGACTATATGAAAGTAGGTACGTGGAATAAAATAAGTCTCGTATGTCGATGTCGATATATTCATATTTTTTTGTTTAAATTTAGCTTTAAAAGTTTAATTTCGAATAATATTAGTCAGTACTTTTTATAAAACAGTTTCCAATCTCAATATCGACAAGTGGGGCCTAAGTAAATAACATTCCGTCTACGTGAATCGTGAAAAAAGAATTTAGTGATGTAGGTATATGATAAATAATGTCGATAATATTTTATTTATTTTTATTTTATTTTTATTGGGGAAACATAGAGTGTTGACAAATGTTTAAACAATAATTTGTAGAAGTGGTTCATAGACCAAAAAGTTTCCACTGATACGTGAATCATATCGAGCTTTGAAGTTGATAGTTAGTTACAATTACAAAAATTAACTAAAAGTGTATGACACAAAAAATATATAATTAATCTAAAAAAAAAATAACTGCTAAATAGATACTGTCGATATTTTTTATTTTTTTAAAATAATTACTCTAATAGTAGGTAATATAATATCTTTTTTCTAATCTTTAGTAAATTGGCGTATTAGATTATAGTGTATAAACGTAGCGACGCATTTAATAATATATATTTTTTAAGACTTTACAATAATAACCACTCACTTGGGTATGAATTTCTCGATTTTGAATTAACTCGTTATTTTTAAGACTGCGTTCATATTGTCGATTAATTTTAATGCATAATCTATCGATTATTATTATTTGCGCAAGAGCATCACTAGTGTCACAACCCAAATTCAGCTACCGTATGCGCGCGCGTCGATCATTGTTGACATAACTTAAGCAAACACTCCGGATTAGAGGTGACGGTATGTGGGGCGAAATATTTTGTGTATAATGAACTTATGTGAAAGTCGATGGGTTCGAATCTCGATGGATACGTTATAACACCGTCTTAGTGCGTCTTTGTTCAAACCACCAATACTTGTTGTACTTTACAGTAGCAAGGTTTTGTTCTCTAATTTAAAAACAAAGCTTTATTTATTGTATTATATTTTTTAATGTAAATCGTGTATTTGTATTTAATACTAATAGAATTGACCACCATCTAGTTCCATGGTAAGCTATGAGGCTTGTGTTATGGATACCAGATATATAACTACACATATATAATTTTAAATATATACATACTATAAATATAAACACCCATGACTGGAGTACCTACAAACATTCGTGCTCAATACATAAGTGAATGCCCCCAGCGGAGCTCGAACCCGCGAACGTTGGCACAGCAAATACGGTCGCTACAAACTGAGCCAAACGTGTCGTCAAAACTTATTATAATTAGTTTAAAAAAATCCAATTTCTTCGAGATTTCTTCTTGACGTTTTAAAGAAATATGGTATCAGAATAATCTATGCAAATAAATGGGAGAGTGCACTGTATGGGTTTTATTAAATGCATTAAGGGCCTCATGCCGATCTGACCGGCCACGCCCTCCATACAACTGTCAATCTGTCTGTGCGTTTCAATGTCGATATCCTTTAATGAAATCAAAATCACTATAAGAGTAGGATTCCTACTTTTATGGTGGAAAGTTTTCTAAAGATTCCTCACATAAGTGTGGAATTTTAAAATCACGAAAGCGCGAACATTTGACTGTTTAAATGAAACAATCTTTTCAGTTTTTTTTGTGGTTTTTTTTAGATTTTGGTTCCCGTCCAACCAACCAAAACTTAAAATCAATCGGATCGTATTCAGCGAAAGTTTACTATTATAATATAAGTATTTGATATTTTAGCACTTTTACAAGTGCCAAAAACCTGACGAAAGAAACTTCTTTCGCCAGTTTTTCTCAGGTCTGAGACTCCTTCTTTCTGGTGGTAGACTCGTGACGTAAGTAAACAATTGTAATAATGTTATGCTGAATAAAATATTCTCTATTTTGAAAAACGTGGTAAATATTCCTGTTTGTGTATTCAGCCCTTTTTAACGTCCCACTGCTGGGGGTGGGCCTCCCTTCAATACTTGAGGGATGACGCCATAGTTCACCACGCTGGCCAAGTGCGGGCGGATTGCACATGTCTTTAGACAACTGGCTAGGTTCTCTCAGACATGCTGATTTCCTCACGATGCTTCCCTTCACCGGAAAACATCCGCAACTTTGGGATTTGAACTCGCTTCAGTCGGTTTCTCAAGCAAGCGCGTTATCACTGGGCTACCACTGCCTATAAATATTCCATTTTAGAACACAAACATATAAAATTAGTTATCAATCAGCGATATCGCGTTACTCTACTTATCTATAAAGGTTCGTTGCAAATAAATGCGCAGGATTGCAAATAGCTTATAAAGAAACACATTAAGTGACTCAGAACAACCTAACAGGGTCCGGTGCCGCCCTCCATGCAACTGTCAGTATGTCGATCCCTTTAACGTTGATATCCTTTGATTAAGTTCATTTCAAAGGTTTAATATTATATACATATAATATAGCTCTATTTACTGACGTTTAGATATGAAAACGTGAGTTGGCGATATTATAATTATTGAAACTACAGACTCTCGCTTTGCTGTTATTTTATGTGCAGGTAGCGCCATCTTTTGGCAAATCTTATTATGTTCATACATGCATACGTAGTTTCATAGGTTTTCATATTTTTGCGCGGAACCTTATTTTTTTCTAAAAGGGAGATCTAAAGTGAGTGAAAGCCTAAGTTAATCCTTATAACGTCAGCTATCTGCCAGTGAAAGTCCCGTCAAAATCGGTCCAGTCGTTTCGGAGATTAGCCGGAACAGACAGACCAAAATAAATTAAAAAGGTTTTTTTTCTTATAAGTACCTACCGTATACACTTTCATAATATGCATTTAGTAAAATGCTGTTATTTTGACATTACAAACAGACACAAATATGAAGTTTCGCATTTATAACAGTCTGATAAAGAGACAGCGCCACCTTTTGGTAATTTTGTTTTTTTATCTTTTGCTAAATTAGAAAAGAGCAAAGAAAGGTTTTAATATTTTTAATGTGTTTTATAAGCTTTAATTAGCAACTACGTATATAATGAAAGATTTGAAGTCGATTTCAACCTACTAAATGTCGCATCGATTTGACATTTTGCATGTGAAATCTGTATGATATAGAATAATTTGACACTATCTCACTGTTCTGATGCTGGTCGTAGGAGGTGATAGTGGAACTCTTGAATGGCTGCTGGTTCCACCATGGAGTGCTGGCTCGTTTGATTCGTTTTGACGAGTCCCATACAGTATAGTTTATAAAAGCGCCTTTTTAAACTGTATTTTACTTAAAACAAATGCATTGGTATTTAAAAAAATATAGGATTGCTTCCCCATACAAACTTTCATCCACATTTTCACCTCCTTAAGGGACGATTTCCGGGATAAAAACTATCCTATGTCCTACCCAGAATCTCAAACTATCTTTTTACTAAATTTCATCTAAATCGCTTTGGTA